CGCCATCATCCGTTGGTAACAATGAAGTGAGCCGTGGACGTACATCTCCCACGTGTCGCGGTATCGCGTCGATGACTACAGACTGCGGACTGTTTATTCCCGTGACACGACCTTTCACAAACTTTGACGTGCAGCGTCCGTGCGGATTTTTTACCCAAACTGCGTCTCCTTCTTTATACCGAGTCGAAGTCGCCCGGTTAGGCGAGGGCACAATGTCAATTCCTTTTATTCGAATTCTGTACGAATGCAGCAGATTGGCGGGCGCAGAAGAGGCAGACACATCATCCCTGGGTGTAATGTTATACCAATACACGGCCTCCATAATAGAGCAGCTCTTTCGCGCAGCAATCCGTTTGATTGTCCGATGACACCTCTCTACAATACCATTTCCAGATGGTTTTGTACGCAGCAGCGCGGTCGGAATCGGACGCCCCATTCTTCCATGAATTGTTTAAATTGCTGACTGCGGAATGCAGTGTCATTATCAGCCAGGATTTCTACCGGGGCACCACGTTCGAAAAACACCGACTCCAATTGCCGGATTACGTGTGCAGCGTCTTGCCGAACTAGTGGTCGCCAGATCGAAAACCGTGTGGGGCCGCAATCGATCAGAGTCAAAAAATGGCGACCGTTATAGTGTGTAATGTCCATTCCCAGACGACTCCAAGTTTCACGCACACTGAGCTCTCCCTTCTGCCATCGCACAGAAGCTGGATCTATTGACTGACACTGTTCACAACTTCGAACGACCGATCTTACTGCTGCTTTCGACACGGACGGGTTGATCCTACGTGCGAAATATAGTGTCCGTTTAACTCCAGGGTGCCCGCTGTGTCGATGAATCTCAGTTAACTGAGCAAGGCTCTGGTTTCCTACAGCAGAAGCACATACTGGTTGAACAGGTTCAAATTCCTTCACATTGTTGAACCACTTCTGGGGAACTCTCGTCAACAAGTCAGCTCGGTTCTGGTCGGATCTAACTAGCGCTATGTCAACGGAAAGTTTATACTCTTTCACAAGAGACGTTAGAGTTTCAAGTCGTCGCCTTATGAGCATCTCGCTAGCGGCCTTGGTGTTCAGCCGAGACTTTCCCGTAAGGGCATTAGTCACCCAATGGTACACGCAGAGGGAGTCTGTGTTCACATGTAATACCGTAGCCTGCCATTTTAGCGCGAGGTTGATTCCCTTCAGTACGGCATCCAGTTCAGCCACATTGATATGCTGGGTGTTTTTTATCGGCCGTAGCCAGCATGCGTCCTCGATGATAGCTCCCTTAGCCTCGAGCGCTACTCCGACAGCCAGCGAACTCGCGTCCACCCACACGTCTAGCTCCTTCGTATTCACGCACCATTCTCCCTGTGCAGGATCCAGTTGCTGAGCCCGGGCAAGGGTGTCCGTTATCATACGTTCCAGGGGAGTATCACAAATGTTGTCGTCCCAGTTCTGCATTACGGCAGTGGCTCGACGTTTGATGACGCCTGTCGCCACTCGCAGCCATCCACACACGGGGAAGTGTCCCACCAGCCGGCCACACATGGAGAAAATACCTCTCCGTGTCATAGTCATAGGGCCGTCTACCATTCTGCTTCCTCGTCGCCATCGCAGTCGACCCTGTTCCTTCCATACTTCTAGCCCCAGCACTCTAGCTCCATCTTGTAACTTCTCTGGATCCTTGCTCGTCAGTCCATAGAGCTCGAGATGTTTTCTCACAGATTCCGCCGACACCACATCCTCGTTGATATATATATCATCAATATATGCTGACGTTGCTCTATTTATAGTTTCATTCTGTGCTAACACAGCATTAAGCACAGCTCGCATTATCAGGGGCGCCACATTCAGGCCGAACCCCAGCCTGGTCAAACAATATCGCTTCCCTTTAAACACAACTGTTTGATATGGCCACAGGGATTTTTCAACACGAATCTGTAGATATGCTTTCCTGAGGTCCAGAATGGACACGTTCGCACCATGCTGTCTCCAGTCTCGCAGTTTTTCTGCGCAAACATCCGCGGCACCTGTGAATGTTTCAACGTAGGTATTTAGTTCCCTATAGTCCATCACAGGACGCACCTTATGCTTGTTGGTCTGCAGCACGGCCATCAGTGGTATCAGTCCCTTGGGCGGGCCAAACTCCTTGTTACTGTACGGCACCAACCAACCATTGTCCATCCATGTTTGTAATTCATGCTCGTACTCCTCTCTCATCTCGGTGGATACTGGATACTCAGAGATCCGATTCTGAAGTTTCCCTGGTGCATGACCTGCCGACCACTTCCAGGCTGCGACCCAAACTCCCTGCCGTTCATTGAATTTCGCACTGAAATCGGCTTCGCTGATACGAATCGCTGCACAGACGGACCGTGGTTTTTCAAACTCCACGCTTCCATGCTGCGTGATGCGAACTCCACCGAGTGCCTTAATGGCGTCGATGCCAAGCAACAGGTCGAAATCCCTCGCATAACCAGCACATCGATTGTAGCAGTATTACCAGTTGCTGTGCAAATTCTGACGGTGCCCCTTCCACAGCAAGCCTGCGTGGCTCCGGTTAAGGTAGATACCGCCATACCCTGCTTCAACCAAGACCGACATAAACTCACGCTCAAGATTGACCATGAGCACCCTGAGTCAAGGAGAGCCGAGCATGGTGTGCCGTCAACACACACAGTAATGATGGGTAGCACCGAGTTTACTTGCTGTTTGGGGAGTGGACCGGCGCTGAAGTCTCGTCCCCGCCTCCGTTTCCCGGACAATTTTGGCCAGATGACCGGTCTTGTTGCATCGATAGCAACGTGCGTTAGTTGCCCTTCGCCTCTTCATGCAGTCCCTCGCGAAGTGATTGGGCCCATTACATTCATAGCATGTGACAAGTGGGCCCATGTCTGGGGAAGAACGGGGAATCTGGGAGGGCTGCACCGCAGCGACGACTGGTTCCCTCTCTGCTGTCTCGTCCTTTATGATTGCCCGAGCTCGGGCCAATAGCTCCTCGAGAGACATATCATCCGCCCTGGCCGAGGACCGCAGGAGCCTTTTCACAGGATCAGGAAGCCCCCCGCACGAACACGCATGCCATCGCACTGTCTGGCACTCCTCCAAAAAAGGACGGAGAGCTTCCGTAGATCAGCCAAATATACATCTACGGTCTCACCCGGACGTAATATACGTGCCTCGAATTGTTCGTATGCCGTGAATTTATCAGGGGCAAATGCTGTCATCAATGCTCCCTTGATTTGAGCCACGTCCGATTTCTCTTCCGTAGATAGTTGCTGGTAAACCGCGAATGCTCCCCTGGTTAAGCGAAGGGGGATGACACGATCAAGCCGCTTCACTCCCGATAGGTCGCACACCAATTCCAATTTCTCGAGCCATTCAACCACAGATCCAGTCCCGTCAAACTCGGGAATTATCTTTAAATCAAACCGGCCGTCCATGTTTGCCGAAATAGCTTGTCGTATGTCCAGAAGTCGCTTTCTGTCTGCAATCCGTCTAGTAGTCTACCTGATGGGCCAAGTGGAAGAACCTAGCACAAAAAAGCAGTGGCCTCCCCACGTCCACTCGCCGGGTTTTTAATCGGTAGCGTGGTTCTCTTATGCAAATAAGTCTGCTGCATAAAAATGGCAGTAACTGCTTGTGTCTGAGCGGCTTTATTGCCTTGCAATAAAGATTAATAGGCTTATTATAATTTTTATCACAATAACCATGTCTCAGAGGGGTTCACAAACTTTGGTATTTACAAACCTACAGATATGTTATGGTGAAAGAGCAGATGATTTTTGACTTACTCTCATAAATTATAAATATTATAAATAGTACGAAGGTTATCTGAAGCTAATTAACAAACCTGATGCATATGTTGTCTGCCTAAAATAGTCGTTAGGTACAATTTCTCATGTAGTAACCAACTCTTTAGAATGGAATTCAGTTGTTAAGTGACAAGTGACGAGTTAATTATTCCAGATATGAAAAAGATATATGCAAAAGTACTGAAATATCCAAGATATTTATGTGTAATTAAATCCTTTTTTATTTTTGGCTTTTAAGCTTCCTACCTTCTAGATTTATCCAAATTGTTAATATGCCACTGATCCAGTTTTAATTTAAAAACTTCAAAAGCATTCATTCCAAAACCAAAACAATGAGAAACAAAAATCTCATACTGACTGATAATTTAGTAGTATCTGTGTATTTATATGACTTGACTGATTGATTTGTTTTTTACCACTTATCAACCTTTCTAGGTTTATTTAACGATGAAATATATTTTGAAATTTAAAGAATTTTTTTTTGAGATAATAATAATTTTCTACTGGTCTGGTGCTCCTGCTATTTATCTTGAGGTTCTAGGCAAAATCCAAAGAAGGGTCTGCAATGTAAATGATCCTGACCAGGCATCTCGACTTCAGGCACTTTCTCACTGATGTGACATGGCTTCCCCTTGTCTTTTCTACAAATATTTTCAGGGCAACTGCATCGACAAGCTTTTCTTCCTGGTGCCCCAATTGCATAAATTTGAATGTGTTACTAGATTGGCATCTAGGTCCCACTCTTTTACTGTTGAAATAGCTAAATGCAACTGCCACTTCTACTCCAACAGTTCCTTTTCTCACATTCCCCACCTGTGGAACTTCCTTCTGCTTTCTTGCTTCTATAATCTTCAATAATTTAAATGCAATGTCAATCATCATCATCTATCTTTCTGAATTCTATTCATCTTTTGTCCTTTCCTCAATCCCCACTATAATCAGTTTTTTTCTCTCATTTTCACTCCCTGTAACACCTTGCATACTAGTGACATTCCCACCTTGCCTGGAGTGAAATGATTAAAAAAATAAGAAAGTCTTAGCATTTAAACCATTGCTGGGGGAAGAAGAGGCAGATTCATACCTTTTCCAAGGGTATTTGCATCTAACTGAATATAACGAACCCAACTGGAATTCAAACTCAGCTCTCCAATATCTCATTTTCTACCACTATTCATTACACCACCTGCATATTCTAACTTACAGCATCTGGACTTCCCAAGCAATCACCCACCAAGGTACTGACCAGGTTCAATGTTTCTTAACTTCTGTGATTGAATGAAAACCAGTGTTTCAATGTGATATGGCCCTATTTGTATGACCATTTTAATTTACATGGAAGCATATTTGGTAAAAACACAGTGGTTAACTTGAAGAATAAAGCAATTTCCAAGCTAATATGCAACTTAATAATAATAGTGTGGGTTCTGCATTTACACTCACCCAATAATCATGATCTGACTTTTTTTTTCCTATTTTTGTGTATTTGTTACAAAAGCTGAAAAAAAAAAATTACCGAAAGAGGAGACTTCTTCATAAAATAATGACACCTTTCATTAGTAAAAAATATGCATACAGAAATAAATCAAGAAAATAAACATATCATATTTTCACAGTAATTACCGTATATACTTGAGTATAGTGCAAGTTTTTATGATCAGTTTTTGTAGAGAAGAAAATGGCGACTTACCTCGTCAAACCAAGCAACAGTGTGTTACATGTATCCTACGTCAGAACAGAAAGAAAGAGCGCACATGAATCTTGTTTATATATGAGAACATCATGCAAACTTTTGGTTAAACCTTTTTTTTAAATGGTATCACCCCCAAGCAAGACAGTACAACCATTAGCACATAAGGGGTTACTGTGTATGGAGGAATTAGAAACAGAAATATTAGTAATGAGGAGAAAGAAAAGAGCAATCAGGACAGTAGATTGACATTGCATTTAAATTTTTTGCAGAATATTGGTTGGAAATTATAGAGCTGAAAAGGATTTCCACAAGCAAGAAGTGCAGGATAAGTAACTGTTAGTATAGAAGTTATGGCTACATCTAGCTAGCTCAACTGTAAATTGATGAGATCTCACCACCAGTGTAGTACTGCACATAAATTCATACAGTCTATGTACCATAGCTAAGAGCTCAATACCATACCAATCACTGACATCTCAACCTAGATATAAACAGGTGCCATATATGGCTGGTAAATTGACTCTACAAGTTGTTAAACAGTGTGAAGGGGGATTTTTTGAGACATACAGTTGCTGTATTGAATTTTATCCCCTCAAAATTCTACTACAGATTTTTACATAAAAAATAGGCAGTTGAACTATACACAGATTATTTTTTTTGAAGAGATTAAAAATTGTACATTTTGGGGTACCAGTTGCACTATATACTGGTCATTTTTTTTTCTGGAGGGGTTAAAATTCAGGGGTAACACCATACACAAAATAGGCCTATACCCAATTATATACAGTATTCTATCAAAAAATTTTTAACCTCTGCATTTCTCTGTTTTTTTTTTCTTTATGCAATGAAATACCACCATCCAGAACATGCGTGTGTTCAGCAGATATACAAGCATGGATGTGAAGAGATGGACACTAATCATTTAAAGATTCCATAACTCATCCCAAATGAATCTACTAAATTTGGAAAAACAGTGTTCCTGTTTTCACTCCTGAGGGAAGCTATGCTGATGGCATAGTTATTATAAAAATGATCTTGAACAAAAAAAAAATCAACAACCTCTACCAAGTGTTCCACAAAGGAAGACTCATGATAAACCTTTACAAAAGAGAAACTATGATCAGAAATTGGAATGAAAGCAAAGATATGGAATTAGTAAATATCATGACCCCCACCAACTACCTGAGTATGTTATGTAAAAATTATTCTGGTTTAGAAGTATTTGAAATTTTTTTTATTTTTAATTCCTTTAAATACATGGGTGTATTGATCAGTTATAACAAATTTACTATCGGAGATGAGGAAATCGAAGATAGAATAATAGTTGATATTGAACAGAAAATCAACATTCTTTACCAAGTGTTCCACAAAGGAGAACTCAAGATAAACCTTTACAAAACAGAAACTATGATCAGAAATTGGAATGAAAGCAAGGATGTGGAATTAGTAAATACTAAACACATTAAGTACTTCAGTGTATGAATAAGTTATAATAAATTTAGTATAGGATATAAGGAAATGAACTATGGGGTAGTTTTGCCCAATACCCTAAATTGATATGATCCAAAGAAGAATCAGCAATATTATTGGTCCTGATCTGGTGGCTCAGCTTCAGCTACTTGCCCACCAACATGAGGTTGCCTCTCTGTGCCATTTTTTTTATAAATACTTCCATGGTACTTGTTCGGATGAGCTCTTTGCTATGGTACCTAGACTTTAATTTTTGGTGGCGAGAGCATGGGTATTCATAGTTGGTATAAGGATGATCTCAAACAAAAAATTAACATCCTTTACTAAGTGTTCCAAAAAGTACGACTCACGATAAAACATTACAAAACAGAAACTATGACCAGAAATTGGAATGAAAGGAATAATTGCATTTTCTTTTCTTTTTTTAATCAATTCATCCCATGCAAGGTGATAATTCCACTAAGGTGCAAGGGGTGAACTGGAAGTGGAAGAATCAGCAGGAAAAGGCTTCAGAAGGAACCATAACCCCAATCCTAAACAGGGAACAAGGAATAAACCTCCTGTTCAGAAGATCAGATAGGAGTGTGAACCTGTTTACTCTTCTTACTCTGAATCCAACATAAAAATTCAGGATACAGATTTCAAATACCTTGATTTATAGATCATTTATAACAAATTATATATTTTCCTGTGTCAATAAAGCTAATAAGGAAATTGAGCACAAAACAGGTTGCACGAGGGATAGTTTTGTTTAATACTATAAGACAATACAAAACCAAAATATTAACTTGAAAACTAAAGTCATGTATTTAAATAGCTTCATCAGGTCAAAACTTCCATGTGGAATATGCATGGCACTAAATTTGTTCAGAAATATCCAAACTGTCAGGTGTATACAACCACTTTCTCAGATCAATGATTAAAAATGGCTTCCAGTGAATGAAACCTGTAGGTCTTAGAGAGGACTATCCTTCATGGACTGGTGCTACAGAATCATAAACAAAGAACTGTACCAAATAGCAGAAACCTCATCACTTGAGGACCTTCAACAGCAGCAACAACTAAAATGGATATCACATGTAACTCAAAGAAAAAATAATGATATAATCCACATTACTTCAAATAAAGGTTCAGGAAGGTAACCCTAACCAATACAAGAAAGAACAATAACAGTTACTTGACTTGAGAAATGTTTTATCCAAAAAATTGTTTTAAATAAGCAAGATTTTATATTTTTGACTGGAAATAGTACTGGTTGCTCAGTCAATGAATGCTAAATGATTCCTTAAAAGGAAACAGCTAATATTATCATTACTAACCTTTTTGAACCTTGTGGCCTGGTGCTATAGAATCATAAATAAAGAATTGGACCAAATAGCAGAAACTACATCACTTGAGGACTTTCAAAAGCAGCAACAACTAAAATGCATAGCACATGTAACTCAAGGATATAATGAAGCTGTTGACCCCCCCCTCTACAAACACACACACTACTTCAAACAAAAAGCAAGGAAGGAACCCCTCCACCACCACCACTAGCACTACTTACATTAGTGGACATGACAAACATCTTTTCGTGAAAAATTGTATTAATAGGAAATTTTTATAAATTTCAACCGCAAATAGTACCGGCTGCTCAGTTTAAGAATACTGAAGGTTTCCTTATAAGGAAACAGCTAATATTACTATATATGTCCCAAATTTCAAACACAAAATTACATCTTTAAATGCAACTATTGAAAAACATTACAAACCTTTGTTCCAAACCAATAAAATGTTCTCGAGAATACATAGAATTTACAGGCTTCAAAATTCTCATATCCTTAGAACACTGAAAGAGAAGAAAAATTTAGATTTTAGATTTTATTTAAGTTGGGAGGGGAGAGAGAAAGAACAAAGTGTCAAGTGGACGGTGGGGATTCAGTTGAAAATAAAAGGGAAGAGTGGGGGGGGGGGGTAAGGAAGATGTTGAATAAGAAAAGATTAAAGAATTCTCCGGAATTTTTACTATAAACGCAGAATCAAAGAAATCCAATTCAATAAAAAGTAAAACGAGACAGATTTTTTTTTTTTTTGTCTGGTCACAAAAACTTCAAGTCAGTATTTTAGAGAAGCATGAAAACTTTTAATAACTCAGTACCTATCTTTTATAAAAACTTTGGGTATTTTTTTTTTGTTTTAGATATTTACTAAGTTCAGCTTAGTCCAACCTAAGGTTGGTTTAGAAGAAACAACAATAGGAAGATTATGTTGCACCAATTTTTCCATGTTGGGGTAACCTGCCAAATTTGAAAACCAGCATTCAAAATCCAATACGGCTTTTTATTTCAGTTTGGCTACTTGGATTAGGTGAAAAATGTTAAACTTTCCCAATCATGAATTAGGCAAATGACAGAAAATGTGGCAATGAAATTCAAAGTTGTATTGAAACTGCAAAAGATGCTTTAAAATCTAAACAGAACATTATGAAACACAACAATTTACACAGAAACAAAGAAACAAATGCCCAGCTGCTACGTAATATCAAACCTCTTACATGGCAGTAAAGGCTGGAAATTAAATTTTCTCACAGATGAAGATGAGATGTGAGGCAACAGAAATCTTGTTCTACGAACGGATGTTGCAAATACCCTGGATGAAAGTTGTGAGCAATGTGGAAGTTTTAAGGGAAATTGAAATAAAAAGTAAACCTAAAGATAGATGAAATTTCTGGGACACACAACGAGGAAAGAAGGCTTGGAGAATTTGACACTCACAGGAAATAATGAAGGCAAGACAGGAAAAGGGGAACAGAAAATAACCTAACAAGCTTGTATGTCAGAACAGAGAGTGGGAAGGGTAGTAAAACAAACATTGCTAAGAGCTAGAATGATTCTCTATATCCTGAAAGGACACAGCATATGAAAAAAAGTAGAAATCCTGTGTGTGTTATTTGATATGGTATTCTTCTTTTAATCATTTCACCACAAGCAAGAAAATAAAACAACTAGGACATGAGAAAAACTGCTCAAGGAGAGAGGACAATGAAAGAATAAGAATTAAGAAGACAGAAGATAACGATTGACATTGCATTTAAATTTTTGAAGATCAAAATTGACTGGAAAGCAGGAGGCCAGAAGAGAATTCCACAAGCGAGAAGTGAGAGAG